CATAACAGCTACAAGTGTATGCACTACTTGCTTTATGCAAGCACTCTATAGGATAAATCACTATACAGGATTTACCCTATTATACTTTATCGACACGAATTGATAGGTGAAGCAACAAACAGCCACCCACAAATAGTTTATAAACAAAGCATCAGGCTGTCTTTGAATTCACATGAACAACGGTTAAAGTTACTCATCGTCAGGCTACAGAAGAATACCATAATTCCTCCGTTCAGTTAGGCCTAATACATCGAGAGTCACGCAGACCTATAACAACCCAGCCACAACACATAATTGCGAATAACATGCCTTACCTTAACACCGAATCGACCACAGAGTCCAACGTTTATATTTTTTATACGAATCTTTGAGTTAAAGGGGTCATATGATGCGATTTCAAGTTTTCCTTTCTCTTTGGAGTGTTACAAGCTGATTGTGCATAGATAAGATCCCTGAAGTTGCAAAGACTAAAGTCTCAAAACCAAAGAGATATTCTTTATCAAAGTTAAGACCCTGCCACGCCCCCCTAAAACGGCTCGTTCTAACACGCCCCCACATGTCTACCTCACTATGTGGAAATATTTGCATAATGCGGCCCAAATGTTCACGCAAAGAAAGAAGGTGTGGTTTCAGGAACAGCAGTTAGTGTTGATGCAGCCATGTCAGGGAGACGCTGTGTGTTTCTAGGCGAAAGCAAAAGCACTTTATTTGGCCTTCCGGAAGTAGATGCATTTAGGAATCTTTAAGATTACTTACAACAGAACAGCAATGCATTTTATGGACGACAGTGTTTTGTGAACCTAGGAGAGGAGGTATCAAATATGGTGATTTGTATTTTAACAAAATCTTACTCAAATATGATACATCAATCTTTTGAGGAACATTTATTTCTTCTTTATCTCTCAGTTATTGTATTGCATTGAATTAAACGTGTTGTCCCCCACAATAAAAACTAAATATATTTTTAAATATCATCTTACTAAGACATAATTGGGAGATATAGAGTGACAGCTGATATTTATATCCTTTTTTTGTAAATATCTGTAACTTGTACTGTCATAAAAATCTTGTTGTTTTGCATATGAATGACACAATTTTACCAAATTTCATATTTGTCAAATTTCATAGTTTAGGCCTATAAATAAAACAATTATAAATAAATGTGTTTTTTCCTCCTCGAGTATGGGCTCCATATTTCTCATTGTGTCATTATTTGGGCCATAAAAGCCTGATGTATCAAAAACATAAAACACGTATGCATTTTTTTTCTTTTATAATTAAAAGGTTCAGCAGACTCTTAATCTTAATCTGTGACTATTTGTGACAGGAAATGATGTAAATGAAATGAAGGAAAGTTTGCTCTTTAGTAGTGTAATTAGTTTCTTCTTTCTCTCCTCAGGCGAGTCTATGGAGATGGAGGAGCGTGTGAGTGAGCGACAGGCTGAAGTGCTAGCAGAGTTTGAGCGCAGAAAGAGAGCGAGACAAATCACCGTCTCTACTGATGATGTAGAGGTCAAGGCCTGCCTCCGAGCTCTTGGCGAGCCAATCACGCTGTTTGGGGAGGGGCCTGCAGAGAGACGAGAGAGGTGGGCGGCCAGATTTTTTGACTATTGGTTAAAGGGGTCATATGATGCTGCTAAAAATAACATTATTTTGTGTATTTGGTGTAATGAAATGTGTTTATGTGGTTTAAAGTTTAAAAAACACATTATTTTCCACATACTGTACATTACTTTTTGTCCTCTATGCCCCGCCTTTTTGAAATGCGTCGATTTTTACAAAGCTCATCGGTCTGAAAAGCGAGATGTGCTCTGATTGGCCAGCTATCCAGTGCGTTGTGATTGGCCGAATACCTCAAGCGTGTGACGGAAATGTTACTGTTGATGCCGTGTCCGGCCGGAGTTTTGGAAGGCCAAACAAAGTAGTTTCGCTTTTTACAACAAAACAGCGTCACACACAGCAGCCTACAGTGAGCAGAGGCCGGGGGCCAGCGTGAGGAACAGCCGGAGGGTTAGAGTGAGCAAAGGCGGGCTTGAGAACGGCGCGGCTGGCGATTTCGAAGAAGGAGTGTCCGGAAGGACATGTGATGACTCCGGGCTGGACTTTGCTTCGTCCACAGTGAAAGCCGATTCGGCGATCGACAGCGCAAAGTTGATGTATTTCCTCAGCTACCAGCACAGATCAGCTCTAGGCATGACGAAGCGGATATCGTCCTCTTTTGGAAGACCAAACAAAGTAGTTTCGCTTTCACAACGAAGCACACCGCGTCTTCACGACATGGCGGCGGCGGCGGCAGCGGCAACAACAATACTATAGTGAGAATAAAAGTTACGCTTTCTTTCTTTGCGTGAACATTTGGGCGGCGTTATGCAAATCTTCCCACATAGTGAGGTAGACATGTTGGGGGCGTGTTAGAACGAGCCATTTTAGGAGGGTGTGGTTGGCTCTTAACTTTTATAAAGCATATCTCTTTGGATTTGAGACTTTAGTCTTTGCAACTTTACAGATCTTCTTTATGCACCAAGAGCTTGTAACACTCCAAAGAGAAAGGAAAAATTTTAATCGCATCATATGACCCCTTTAAAAGCTTTGCAGCATATTCTGGGAAAAAACTGCCCAATTAGATGCATAGAGCATCTAACCGACAAACAAAAGATATTGTGTCAGTATAATGTGGGATTTTTACTGTTGGAGAAATTAGTGATTTTCAACATAGTATTTATATTTGTAGCTAGCACTAGTCTCTTATGTTTACAAATGCTGCATTTTTTAATGCTGCAAAAATGAAGTAAAACAGTAATAAAATATTGCAAAAATATCATTACAGTTTATTAAAAATGTTTTATATTATAGTATATTTTCAAATGTAATTTATTCCTGGGGTGGCAAAGCTGAATTTTCAACGGCCATTATTCCAAGTGTCACATGATCCTTCAGAATTCATTCTAATATACTGATTTGCTGCTCAAGAAACATTTTTTTAAAATTAGCACACATGAAAACATTTGTGCTGCTTAATATTTTTGTGTAAACCTTGATAAATATTTTGCAACGTTATAAATATATATATATATATATATATATATATATATATATATTGTTGTCTCTTTCGATCAATTTAATTCATCTTTTAATTCATAAGTATTCATTTCTTTTAAAAGCAGCACTATGTAACTTTTGACACTCTAGCGGTTAATAAACAGAACTGCACACATCCCGCGGAAGAAGGTTTGTTTTATCTTATATTTAACTGTGTTATTTATTAATTTATTTTAGATACACTATTCACAAGAACATATGAGGTTATTTATATATGCTTTGTATGCCAGTAGGAATCATCATTTTTAGATTTCCAAACATTGCTTTCGCAAGAATTGTAATAATCCAGTGAGGTTTTTGTATGAACAAGGAGTCCTACAACAGAAGGTATGGTCCACACACATGATCACTGAGACAGCCTTAATTAAATTACATGAAGAAACAGAAGCAACACAGAAACACATAGAAGGACTGTGCTACTTCTCCAAGATGCTTAGAACAACCTACCTTTGCATTACCTTAGTTTAGGCACTTCCTGTAAAGTGAGGATGTTTTCAAAAGTAATGCTTGGAATAGTTTATGCTTATCATCAAATTAATATTTGGAGTGACAATTCTTTTGCCTGTAAAATAGAAACAATTCTCCTTATACACTTGCACACAGTTTTTTTTAATTACTTGCAGGCTGGTTGTTGGCTATACTGTCTGTTATAGGACTCCTTGTTCAAACAAGAATTTCTCTGGATTAATAAATTATTCTTTACAAAAAGAATGTTTGGAAACATAAAATTAATTTATAAATAATATTTTAAAATGTATGTTTGAGCATCTATGTTTTAAAAGGCTTGTTATATTTGGTATAAAAACATGTAAAAATGGAGTGTTATATTTGGTATAAAAACTTTTTGTTGTAGGAGTGGCTTGTGTAAATTGTGGAAAGTCCCAGATTGTACACTTGTACGCACATTAAGAGGTAAATATAACAAATATGTTCTGTAGCATTTGTTCTTTAAGTTGTGTCTTTGTCATACTTTTTCATTCCAGTTTACAATACAACTTTTACCACTGAATTCATTGAAGGTAAACTTTTCTTTCTCAGGTCACAATACCAACGTGGGAGCGATTAGCTTTCACCCTCAAGCCACACTCACACTCGAGGAGTCGGATGTCAATATGGCCTCCTGTGCTGTGGATGGATCTGTTAAGCTGTGGAGTTTAGACAGGTGTGTATTATAAGTATTATTTAAAATTTCTGTCTCAATTTCTTAAAAGTAAAATATTGTAATGTTCTTATCTGTAGTGATGAGCCTGTAGCAGACATTGAGGGGCACTCTATGAGGGTGGCTCGGGTGGCCTGGCATCCCTCTGGGCGGTTTCTGGGCACAACTTGGTATGAATGTATTTTCTCTTTTTATATAATTTATTTTTAATGAGGTAAACGCAAAACTATGGTGTGAATATTGGTGTTGGGATAAAGCTTTTCTTTCATATATTTAACCGAATTATCTTTTTTTTTTTTTTGCTCTTTAGCTATGATAACTCATGGCGACTTTGGGATCTTGAAGTTCAAGAAGAAATTCTGCATCAGGAGGGTCATAGTAAAGGTGTCCATGACCTGCACTTCCACCCGGATGGCTCTCTGGCAGGAACTGGGTAAGGGCCTCGCACTAAACCCTGAGGCACTCCACTGTTTTTGTAAAGGAATGAGCACTACACTCAGTCTATACAGTTACATCGATGCTCTTATGAGTCCAAGTATGTTCAGTTTAGGACCAACCAAATAATAATAAAAAATAAAAAAACTTTAATCCGTCATACATGGTTCCTAATCTTAACCCTGATCCCTATGATTGCAGCATTGGTCTTGCAGTATTCGCATTACCAGAGCCTGAACCAATTAGGCTTCCACTTAATTTTGTGATTGTTCATTCAATCTGCTTTTGATTGGTTGAATTAGTTTAAAAGGATTTATACTTGGTTTATTAATCTTTCAATTGTTGTGTTAATGTTATTCATTATTGCTCCATGTACAGTGGTTTGGATGCATTTGCTCGTGTCTGGGACCTGCGGACTGGTCGTTGTATCATGTTCCTGGAGGGCCACCACAAAGAGATTTACAGCATCAATTTCTCACCAAACGGGTAAGTAAAAGAAAGCCCATGTGAATATTTGAAAGATTTAGTTAAGCCGTTTACTGTTATTTGAGCTTCATTTGATAACTAACCCAGAAATCTTCCTTGTGCAGCTTTCACTTGGCAACCGGAAGTGGAGATAACACCTGTAAAGTGTGGGACCTTCGTCAGAGAAGGTGCATGTACACAATTCCTGCCCATGAAAACCTTGTGTCTTCAGTCAAGTTCCAACGTAAGTATTCAAGTTAAGAAGGCATTTATCATCAGTCATTTAGAGATGATTATTTTGAGTATTCAAAAAAAAATACTAATTTACTCGCCTCTTGTCAGCAACCCCAGTCCCCAAACTAAAAAAGCACTGTGGACATTCAGCAAAATATCTTAGTGTTGCACAAAAGAAAGTCACATGGGTTTTGGATGAACAAATATATATATATATATTTTTTTTTTTTAGGTCCGTAGGTCTACTGTCTGTCAAAGTGAATGAGTCTAAATTCACCTCTACTGAACTTGCAAATTTGTGTAACATTTTTGCAATGTCAATATTAACAGTCTTTTCCTTTTAGCTAACGATGGGCATTTTTTGCTGACTGGTGCGTATGACAACATAGCCAAAGTGTGGACACATCCCGGCTGGTCACCTCTGAAGACTCTGGCGGGGCATGAAGGAAAGGTCATGGGGCTTGACCTTTCACCTGACGGACAGCTCATTGCAACCTGCTCTTATGACCGAACCTTCAAACTCTGGATGGCAGAATGAGATTTAAATTTTTTTTCACATTTATTTTTTAAGTTTAGTTTTAAAGAGCTGGAAAACAGCACAAGAGGTCTTTAAACTGGAAGCTGATTGACAGTTTGGTTCAATTAAAACAGAAATACAATCAAATGTTTGAGTTGTGTTGTAACAAGCATCAAGCATTCTAGTACATTGTCTAAGATCTGAAATCCAGTATGTCCATTCTTAAATCTTGATATGTCCATATATCCGATTCCAGTTTTGAGTTTTGCAGAATTTGTCATATTACTGATCCATTTGGGTACCTAAATAAAATGCATTTTATTGTCCCAGGCAATTTTGTAAAGGAATCAGTGGTTTCTGGACAGTAGGATATCCATTGTGAAATGTTTTTTTTTTTTTTTTATCTCACTGTCATAGAGTTGAGTCTGTGCACCATTCACAGCAGAAAGAGATTGATAGCTTGTATGTGAACGTGAATCTAGCACCACCAGCAGCAGAGCAGGCAGTGCTTGCAACAAGGGCTTCTGCGGAAGCGATGCTCTGCTACTGCCACATTGGCCCAGGCTGAGGGTGGTTGATCTGTGATTGGCTGCTTTATAAAGGAGGACTTGGTCTCCAGCTGTGCTTTCTGGCTGTAGGTTCGCTGGTTTTCCACTTCCGCTTTAACACCCAGAAATGCTGCCAGGTCTAGGTCTAGTCCGGTGGCACCCCCGCGAGGTAGAGGAGTGTTCTGCCGGCACTGTGGACAGGGGATCCACATCTGCGGGGAAAAGGCACTTCAGTTACAACCATCTGACACAGCTCAGCTGAGGTGTGTAATACAGTGCATCAACTACCAGGATTCAAAAGTCAAATCATATTTAAATACAATTTTATACAATACAACTAGTTTCAAAGCAGCTTCACAGTAAACTACAAGAAAATAACAGTATTGATGTTGCAAAATTCTTCAGTTTTGAAACAATTTAATATCAGTTGCAGTTCTAAAAAGATAATGTCATTTTTCAGCTCAATTTAGTTCAATAACAGTGTGATTATAGCAATGTTCATTAGAATCTAACTTTGTTCAATTATACAGCAGCTCTACATCAGATAGTGTTATTATTCAGCTGAAGTCATTTCAGTGTTGATTCAGATCAGTTCAATATTAGTGCAAATTTTAAATTGAGTTTAATTTAGTTCAATTTAACCCAAGATTTTGCTTGATTAATTCATTAAATATCTAATTAGGTGAAAGGGGTAAAATTTTGAACTAACATTACGTCAGTTGTTTTGTATTACAATTTTTCTAACGATGTTATGTTTAAATATGCAAATGATGCATTGTCTAATTTTATATATATATATATATATATATATATACATATATACTGATCAGGCATAACATTATGACCACTGACAGTTTTTCAGCTCAATTTAGTTCAATAACAGTGTGATTATAGCAATGTTCATTAGAATCTAACTTTGTTCAATTATACAGCAGCTCTACATCAGATAGTGTTATTATTCAGCTGAAGTCATTTCAGTGTTGATTCAGATCAGTTCAATATTAGTGCAAATTTTAAATTGAGTTTAATTTAGTTCAATTTAACCCAAGATTTTGCTTGATTAATTCATTAAATATCTAATTAGGTGAAAGGGGTACAATTTTGAACTAACATTACGTCAGTTGTTTTGTATTACAATTTTTCTAACGATGTTATGTTTAAATATGCAAATGAGGCATTGTCTAATTTGATATATATATATATATATATATACTGATCAGGCATAACATTATGACCACTGACAGGTGAAGTGAATAAAACTGATTCTCTTTTCATCATGGCACCTGTTATTGGGTGGGATATATTAGGCAGCAAGTGAAAATGTTGTCCTCAAAGTTGATGTGTTAGAAACAGGAAAAATGGGCAATTTTAAGGGTTTGAGTGAGTTTGACAAAGGCCAAATTGTGAAGGCTAGACGACTGGGTCAAAGCATCTCCAAAACTGCAGCTCTTGTGGGGTGTTCCCGGTCTGCAGTGGTCAGTATCTATCAAAAGTGCTCCAAGGAAGGAACAGTGGTGAACCGGCGACAGGGTCATGGGCGGCCAAGGCTCACTGATGCACGTGGGGAGCGAAGGCTGGCCCGTGTGGTCCAAGCCGACAGACAAGCTACTGTAGCTCAAATTGCTCAAGAAGTTAATGCTGGTTCTGATGTCAGAATACACAGTGCATCGCAGTTTATTGCGTATGGGGCTGCATAGCTGCAGACTAGTCAGGGTGCCCATGCTGACCCCTGTCCACCGCCGAAAGCACCAACAGTGGGCACGTGAGCATCAGAACTGGACCACGGAGCAATGGAAGAAGGTGGCCTGGTCTGATTCACATTTTCTTTTACATCACGTGGACGGCCGGGTGCGCTTACCTGGGGAACACATGGCACCAGGATGCAGAGGCAGTGTGATGCTTTGGGCAATGTTCTGCTGGGAAACCTTGGGTTCTGCCATCCATGTGGATGTTACTTTGACATGTACCCCCTACCTAAGCATTGTTGCAGACCATGTACACCCTTTCATGGAAATGGTATTCCCTGGTGGCTGTGGCCTCTTTCAGCAGGATAATGCGCCCTGCCACAAAGCAAAAATGGTTCAGGAATGATTTGAGGAGCACAACAACGAGTTTGATGCGTTAACTAGGCCCCCAAATTCCCCAGATCTCAATCCAATCAAGCATCTGTGGAATGTGCTGAACAAACAAGTCCGATCCATGAAGGCCCCACCTCGCAACTTTCAGGATTTAAAGGATCTGCTGCTAACATTTTGGTGGCAGATACCACAGCACACCTTCAGGGGTCTATTGGAGCCCATGCCTCGACAGGTTGGGGCTGTTTTGGCAGCAAAAGTGGGACCAACACAATATTGGGAAGGTGGTCATAATGTTATGCATGATCAGTGTGTGTGTGTGTGTGTGTATATATGTATATATGTGTGACTTGTTCAACCAAGTTGATTATACCTAGGCGGCCTACTTAAACATTTAAGGCAGCAACACCTTTTTAAATAAGTTAAATATTTCTTACAGTGATAGGCTATATCTGACTATAATTTGTTAACGCTAGATCATTAGTGGTTTTCCACAAACCACAAGATGGACAAACATTACTATTTGCTCTGAAAATAGTGATATTTGTGATGAAGCATTTAAGTAGCTTGAGTCCCACCTGCTCATTGATGAGGGTGTCCAGCCGCTTCAGACAGACCTGGCAGAACGTGTGACCACAGTAGAGTTTGCGGGGGAGTCTCTCTCCCAGATTATAGGCACTGTAGCAGATGATGCAGTCCAGTTTCCGGCTGTCCCTGGAGTTCTGTGCTCCAGTCTCCACATCCCCTTCCGCAGGAGCCTCAGACGCAGATCCATCCTCATCTGAGACCCTACAGAACGAGCTCAGTATGATACAAACATCTCTGGGTCTTTGCCTGAGATGTTCAGTGCTGACTTTGTAATGGCTAATTATTTGTGGCCAACATAGTTGGCCTAAAACTTTCAGTACAGAGCCAGCAAAAATGTATTTGAACCATAATGTTCCTGAAAATATAAAAGCAACTTCAAACATCCACTAAAAAATGTCTTTGAAACCAGTTGGTTAAAATTGCAAAAATGCCACAAAACCAATAACTATTTACATTTTTCCTCACAATGTTTTACTCTTCCAGATACACAAGGTCAGCCGTTAAAGAGTGTAAGCCGAGCCGCATGTATCTGTTTACTATTAGTGGCCGCAGCAATAAAATTTGTATACACAAGATGTAATAGTAAAAGATCTGTTTGCTGTAGGTGTTTAACCTCTAAAAATGTTCTATTTATTTCAAACCAGCAGTGCATGTCCAAACAAACAAGCACAAAACATAACCATAAACATACAATGTGCTCAGTCGTCTTGAAATATCATGATGGAAAAGGTTTTATTTGCATGACTTGTCAGAGTGATTTCATTGTTTATACTGAGAGCATGAACCGTAAGGAATGTTTATTTAATGGAATTCATCATTTTATATATAATTAAATTATATAAAAAATTAATAAGAAACACATGCATAATCTTAAGAAATAAAATGATAAAATAACATTTCATTTAAAAAAAAAAGAAGCAAAAATTCAAATGTGTTATATTTTAATATGACGTAAGCAATTTCCTGTAACTTCAAAAATGTATGTTCCGTGCAGAAGGTCTACCTGTCCACCTCATCCTTGGGTTTATTCTGTGTGCCATCGGTCTCTTGAGGTTCTGCCGTTCCGCTTGCAGTTCCATCCATGTTTAATGTACTAAAAGTCCAACTTCTGTTAACATTTTACAGCCGACTCTGTCTTGGTTTCTCCATGCTGTGAAATCCTTTGTCAGATAGTTTAACACTTGAGTGCACCCTCTGTTGCTTTCCCTGAAGTTGTCCTTGCAGTTCCCAGCAGCACGGGCTCAATCTTTGTTGCTGTTAGCTCGCTCTCTCTTGCTCTCTCACCTGACCAACCAACCAACCACAACTGCCTCTCTGAAATGGAGGACAAACAATGGTGTGCTTCCCCAGAGCCTTTAATATTTAAGTACCTCCCTGTCGCTGTGGACCTATGCCTTTAAACATACACAACTGCACGTTCAACCTTTGGAAAAAAGAAAAGCCATTGGTGGTTGTGGGAGGAGAGTTGCATGTTGTTGAGCAGGTGTTTTAGTCATTAGTCCAGAGTTGCACTTTTATGTATCTTCTAAAGCTCTTGGTATTAACTGCTCTGTTATTTTCCCTTACTAAATAAGTAATACTTCCATTCTGTCTTGCATATAATAAGGAAAAAGTCTGACGGTTTGATTTGACGGAAGATTTGGGTTTAGTTTTGTGGGAAAACATGAAATTAAAGACATCAGACACATTTAGGGTGCAAGAAAGTAGAATGGGAGGAGGGCGTATCGCTTTACAGTCACAAAACATGCCTGAAATTCAAGCCTAGTCACCCACAGACAGTCTGTCATCAACGTTTCCCTGCCAAATTAATTCTGAGACCTTCTTCAACCCCACACCATGGCTATGGGGTGTTCATACTGGCAGATACAGTGGGGAAAAAAGTATTTAGTCAGCCACCAATTGTGCAAGTTCTCCCACTTAAAAAGATGAGAGAGGCCTGTAATTTTCATCATAGGTATACCTCAACTATGAGAGACAAAATGAGAAGAAAAAAAATCCAGAAAATCACATTGTAGGATTTTTAAAGAATTTATTTGCAAATTATGGTGGAAAGTAAGTATTTGGTCAATAACAAAATTTCATCTCAATACTTTGTTATGTAATGTTTTTATTATTTATTAGCTCTAAAAAGGGGAATATTTATGATG